ATAGATACATAGCTAGCAGGCTGAATGATCAGGTGTGTCTAGGAAAAGGGAATGTAGCCATGACGATATATAAGTTTGGCAGATGGTATCTCTACATACATATTTGTATGTGCTATTAAAAAAAACAAACTCACCACCATCAAGTCGGGTCTGACTCATAGCAACCCCTCCTTGGGTTTCCAAGGTGGTTATCACTACAGAAATAGATTCCCCAATCTTCCTTCTGAGGAGTGGCTGGTGGGTTTGAACCACCATCCTTCTGGTGCAAGTCAAGTGCCTCAGGCACTAGATCATCAGAGATCCCTGTATATGTTATAAGAATGTCCATATAAATAGAACAGAGGGCAAAATTATGATAATTTCTTAGCCACAGCCAACCACCCTTGAGGAGCAGGTTGTTAGGCCTGTGGGTTCAGAACTATGGTCATGGGGGACATCGAGCTCAATTGGCACAACATACACACACACAAAAAATTGTTCTACATCCTACTTTGGTGAGTAGTGCCTGGGGTCTTAGGCTTGCAAGCAGCCATCTAGATGCAACAACTGGTCAGTCTCTCCTTGTCCAGGGCAAAGGAGAATGAAGAAAACAAAAGCTGCATGGAAATAATTAGTCCAAGGGACTAGTGGACCATGCAAACCTCAGCCTGTATGACTCTGAGACCAGAACTAGATGGTGCCCAGCTACCCACATCAACCACTCAGAAAGGGATTCTGGATAGAATGGGAGAAAAATATGGAACAAAACTCAAAATCATAATGTAAGACTGGGCTTACTGGTCTGACAGCAACTGGTTAAACCCCTGAGACTATGGCCCCTAGTCACCCTTTGGGCATGGAATTGAACTCACTCCCATGACTTCCAATCAGACTCCAGACATGCATATATGGTGAACCTTGACCCAAGAAGAGTTGATGCTTTTGAGTTGTGGTGTTGGCAAAGACTGCTGAAAGTACTGTGGACTTCTAAAACAACTAACAAATCTGTCCCGGAAGAAGTGCAGCCAGAACGCTCCTTGGAAGCAAGACTGGCCAGACTTCATCTCTCCTACTTTGGTAATGCTGTTAGAAGGGACCAATCTCTGGAGAAGGATGTCACACTTGGTAAGGTGGAGGGTCAATGAAAGAGGGGAAGGCCCTCAATAAGATGGATTGACACAGTGGCTGCAGTGATGGGCTCAGGTATAGTAGGGATCATGAGGCTGGCACAGGGCAGGGCAGTATTTCATTCTGTTGTACATAAGGCCAGTATGAGTTGGAGACAACTCAACGGCACATAATAACAGCAACAACATAGGTGAACATTTATACCAGGTAGGTCCACTCCTTAGAACAATCAACAATGGGAGATCAGAAGGTTAGTGTTTGCACAAGGATGCAGCTCAGAGGGCAGGGATGCATAGGAAAGGACACTGGAAAAAGGGAACCACAGGAAGGAAGTGAGAAAAGAGCTGTTACATTATGGGGACTGAAATCAATGTCACAAAACAAAATGTGTAAGAACTTCAGTATGGAAAATGAATTTGCTCTGTAAACTTTCACCCAAATGAAAACAACAAAAAAAAAAATAAATTGGAAAAAAAAAACAAAACTAAATAATATATTGCATGAACAAAACATCTTCAAAAGACTTCTTTAAAGGTTTAAAAAGCAAAGATGTTACTTTGATGACTAAGGTGCATCTGACCTAAGCCATGGTCTTGCCAGTCACCACATATGGATGTAAGATTTGGATAATGAAAATGGAAGAGAGAAAAAGAAATGATGAATTTGAACTATGGTGATGGTGAAAAATATTAGATATGATTTGCTTCAAAAGAACAAAGGAGGTCTGGTGGTGCAGTGCGTAAGGCATTTGACTACTAAGCAAGAAGTTGGAGGTTCAAACCCACCAGCGGCTCTGCAGATGGAAGATGAAGCAATCTGCTTCTGTAAAGATTTACCACCTTGGAAGTCCAGTGGAAGTTGCTGTGGGTTGGAATCGACTCAATGGCAGCAGTAGCTTAAAAAAACAAGTAAGTCTTAGAAGAAATACAATCAGAATGTTCCTTGCAAGCAAGGATGGTGAGATTCAACTTGCTTACTTTGGGCACATTGTCAGGAAAGATCAATTGCTAGAAAATGATATCACGGTTGGCTGGCAAAGAGGGTCAACAAAAATAAAGGAAATCCCCAGTGAGATGTATTGACACAATAGCTGCACCAATGGACTCCTAAGCACCAATGACTACGAAGATAGCGTAAGATTTGGCAATGTGTAGTTCTGCTATACAAAAGGTATCCATGACTTGGCACCAGCTGGATGGCAAGGAACAATATATATACATACATAAATATGAACATATATATACATTCACACATATATTGGTATGTATGTCTATGTATTTATATGTAAGGGAAACAAAAACAAAATTACCTCATGCCATATTTATGCATTGATATGTCATTAACATCATAAACAAAGATAATGCAAGCTTAAGAATACTATGACACTACTTTATGACAGTAAAACTGAGATTCAGACAGATGGCTCCCTATTTAGACAATCTAAATAATTTATGGATGATGAAAATGTACTAGTGAATATGTAAAGTATCTAAAATATCCCTTATTTTTAAAATAATAGCTAAGTCAAATATATACAAAGTGGCCTTTGATAAAGCCAAAACTAGGATCCATTATCTTAAACAATTCATTTTTTTTTTTAATTATTATCAGCCTCTGACACAAACAGATGAGAGGTGTGAAACAAACTTACAGTCATAGAGCTCCACATTTGCTCAGTATTATCTGCTTTCATTCTTGTAGATTATTATTACACATTTACTATAGCTGTCCAATATCTTTTAGTTTTTGTGTGAAATCAACTTGCTATATAGTGAATTCTTTGGAAATCAATATACCACTAAACATCCTGAATTGATAATTTTCAGAAATGCAAAATTTAACTGCCATCAGGGTATAATGTACACAATAGATGATACACAGATCATTTACAATTTGACTTAAAAATAGAACGTTAAGTCATTTTTTTGTCTTCAATGAAAAAGCTGAACAAATCAAGAATTTTTAAAATTTCAGCTTAAAATCTCTAGTAGATTCATCTAGAAGATTCTATCAACTCACTTCTAAAACTAGTATCAAAATTCAGAACAGTTTCTCTAAGAACAATTAAAATTGCTTATAAGAACATTATGTATCTGAATTTCGAGACTTGATTTTATAATATAAAATTTTCAACTTTTAAATTGTTAAATATAAAAACTTCCATTTAGGCTTTTTTTTTCCCCCTAATTTGAAAAATGTTTTAATTTGAGGAAAAAACTGTATTAAAAATTAAAATAATATTCACAAATTTTCTTACAAACAAAATCCATAGCCAACAAATTTCACTTATTAAACACTATTTTTAAAAATTTGGATGTCTTTTTCTAGTTATAGTGCCATATTTGAAAAGAGCCAGATTACTGCACATGATCTATTTTATGAAGTAGGTACTAAAAATAATATTACACCTCTACTAATAAAATTGATAGTATTACGTTCCTGACCACCCAAATTGTAGGGAAACAAATAATGAAAGAATATAATCAATCTTTTTATTTCTCATATCAACTATTGGTTGAAACAGCCAAAACATCCATCGACTATTTCTGTATTTGTAATTTTGAATCCTGAAAAATAAATTCAAAGGGTTCATTCAACGAATTACTTCCCACGGAACCCTGACTTAATACCTTTCATTACATATTTATTATTTTGTCATTGTTGAGAATATACATGACAATTCACTCACCAATTTATGTTTCTAGTTTACACTCTTTAGCATTTTTAATGATTATGAAAAAGTAAAATGCCTCTAACTTTAATATGACAGTGCCTAAAACCAAAAACCAAACTCACTGCCACTGAGTTGATTCCAACTCATAGTAACCCCTCTTTGGGTTTTGAGGTGGTATCTCTATGGAAGTAGATTGCCCAGTCTTCTTTCTGAGAAGTGGCTAATAGGTTTGAACTGCCAGCCTTCTGGTTAGCAGTCAAATGCCTTAGGCACCATACCACTAGACTTCCCATTACAGAAGAGAACAGCCTGTGGAAATGTTTAGAGAGATCTGTTCTAAAAAGGATAAGGAGTCCTGGTGGTATAAGGGTAATAGCTGAGCTGCTAAACAAAATGTCAGCAGTTTGAACCTGCTAGTTGCTCCATGGGAGAAAAGACCTGCTCATGTAAAGATTTATAGTCTAGGAAACCCTATAGGCAGTTCTACCCTCTCCCATAGGGTCACAAGGAGTCAAAATTGACTCAACAACCCATGAAAGTCTCATCGGTATTAGTGTATTAAATTGAGATGTAATATGTTTTTTCAAAACCTTGCTTCAAAGGTCTTTTTATAAAGGTTTCTTAATTGGCAATGTTGATATTTTGGTCTGGATAATTCATTGTTGTGGGCACTATCCTGTGCATTGTACGATGTTCAGCAGCATTCCTGGAGTGTACCCACTAGACGCCAGTAGCAACTCTCAAGTCATGACAGTAAAAATGTCTGAAGATATTGCCAAATGTCCACTAGGGGGAAAAATTCTGCTATATACTAGAAAACGTATGATGAAAAGGTAAAGGTGCCAAAAGTAGTATGTCATTATTTATTATTTAATATTTTTATACTGACTTTAAGACTTTATAATTAATATGTACTAATTACATAAATGAAGTGAATTACGTACCAAATAATGAAGGGCTCTGCATAAAGAATATGTATGTAGTTTAACTAGAAACACCCAAACATTCTAAATACAGATCCAGGTTTAATGAACTTCCTAACTTATAGTAGGTTAATGTTTGCTTTAGAAACCAATTTTAGTGTGTGTTCCATTACCATGGATATTACAACAAATGTCTATCATTTTTTCAAATGTTATTCCTCTAACGTGTACTTTATTATTGGAAATGGCAATGATGGGGGAAAAATAACACAGTCTTCAAAGTAATTATTACAACATTATTCTTCTTTTCTTCTCCTTTTCTTTTCTTTTCTTTTCTCTTGTAAATTCTTCAGGTCAGTCATTACATTTAAAGTCTTTTGTATCCACATAATCTAAAAATAAACATTTTGAGGCAGTTTAGAATTGAAAAAAATTTGTGTACATATGTATATATATAAGGAAAACTAAAATGTAAAATGCTGATAATATACATACCACGATGATCATGGCATTGAACAACAGTGGTGTTGAAAATACTATAGATATGAACATTCCCTTTGAATCAAAATATTGATATTTTGAAAATAACCTGTTTTAAGTTAAAAAAAAAAAAAGGAAAATTATTACTTGGTATAACAAAATAAATGCCCGTAGTGAATTTCTCTATTAACATAAAGTTTTGGAGACCTCACATCAGTTAAAAACTCACTATGTCAGAATTCAACTCAATGGCAGTAAGTTTGGTTTTGGACTCCATCCCCATCACTTATTGCACTCCTCAGATATTTTGTAATTTCTAATTCTTTATCCAAAATGTGAAATTCATTTTGAAGAAAATACACTAGATCTAATGATTAAGAAAGCCTGTTAGTAGAGAGAAGATAATAGAAGTAAAAGTAATTAATCTAATGATACTTTGTTTTAGGCAATATAAATACTTACACATAATAAGCTCCTGTGGGTTAACAGAGATTTTGACATTAACTGTGATATGATATATTGTTTGAAATTCTTAAATCTACACAGTACCAATTACAACACATTTTATAAATGATAATAGCTGCATTTACTCTACATCTACTTTAAGACAGGTACTATGCCAGGTACTTTTATCTTATTTTTCACTTTATTAAGTTAGTATATCAGGGAGCTCTGGTAGCATAGTGCCTAAGGCACTTGACTGCTAACCAGAAGGATGGCGGTTCAAACCCACCAGCCACTCCTCGGAAGGAAGATGGGGCAAGCTACCTCTGTAGTGATACTGCCTCGGAAACCCAAGGAGCGGTCACTATAAGTCGGGTCTGACTCGACGGCACATAGCAACAACAATAAGTATATCTGTTTATAGGACAGGAATGTGAGACTCAGAAAGGTTAAATGATTTCAACTTACCCAAAGGTACAGAGCAAGTAAACGGTAAAGATAGGATTTGTATTAAGGTGTTAGCTTCTCCTTAACCAGCATAGCAACTATGCTAACAATAGTTACAGTATGTGCAACAATTCATTAACTCAGTAACAAATAGTTATTGAATACTTACTATGCACCAGCCTCAAACACTGCAGATATGGCAGTGAACAGAAAAGATAAAAATTCCTGCTTAAAATTTACATCTAGTAGGGTGGAAGCGGAGAGTCTGCCAACTAAGAGGTAATCAACTGAAACAGGTAGTTGGAATCAACTGCATGGTAACAAACAACAACAAGCTATGATTATATTATAGAGAAAAATATTTTTCTCTATGTATGGAGCCCTATATTTTAAAAGATTCATCAAGGAAGGCTTTATGACAGTTGAATGACAACTAGAAGCATATAAGAGTGAGCCATGAAAATATCAGAATACAGCAGTGTGGCCTGAGTGGCAATGGCAGAGTAAGAGGGATGCTAATAGATAAGATGAGAGGAAGTAGAAAGAAGCCAGGCCCATGAGGCTCTGCAGCCACTTTAAGACTCTGCCTGTACTCTGAATAAAACAGAAACTTATCCTATGGTTCAAAAGTAAGAGTGTTATGACCTGACACTCCCTGCCTAGATTAGAATGTCTGAAGGAGGGTGGAACAAGAGCGGAAGTAGGGAGACTATTTAGGAGGCTGCTATTATAATCCACTGTTAAGAAAAATATAAGCTAGGCTGGTAGCAATGAAGGTTGTGGGAAATGGCTTGGGTCCTGAGCTATTTTAAAGGTAGAGGCAAGAACAAGATTTCCTGTAGAATGTGTAACAGGTTATTTTCAAAATGTGATATGTAAGATCTTTGGCCTGAGAAACTGCCAGAGGAAGTAATCTACAAAGATGGAGAACGATTTAGGAGAACAGCTCTGGAGAAATGCATACACATATAGAAAGATAAATCAAATAAAGTATGAATTGATAATTAACATTGAATTTAGCAATATTGAGATCATAAGTGTCACCGACAAAGTTTTTTGTTTGTTTGTTTGTTTTTTAAATCAATTACAAAAGCTTGACTGGAATGGGTTCAAGCAAAAACAGGAAGATAATCTTTGAAGGCTTACTGTAGAGAGGTCCTGAAATATTGACCCAGTAGCTGGAGAGGAATTGGATAAGTAGATCTTTTTAAGATGAGAAACTAAAGTATGTCTTTATGCTAACAGGGATGATTTTGCAGAGAGAGACATTAATAATGCAAGGGAGAGAAATGGTTAAATGCTGTAGCCATGTCCCAGAATATGCAAGAGCAGATAGGACCGTGTGCACAAGGAGACACGCTAAGGTTGGATATGAAGTCAGATCAGCCTAACAAGGGAAAAGATAGAATACATGAACATAAATGCAAATAGGTGGGACATGTATGCTCTTGATCTGCTGGAAGTTTGAGAGACAAAATTTAAATAGTCACTTAGGACAATTTCTAAACAAATGATCAAGGTCAGTGGTCAGTAAACGCTTTTCTGTAAAAGCCAGAGAATATTCAGGCTTTGTGGGCCAAGAGACAGTATTCTCATCTCTTTCTTCCTAAAAGGAAATTTTATTTTTTTAAACATTTAAAAATATTAAAACCATTTATAGTTCACAGGCCATAAAAGACAGTAAGTGGGGCAGAGCTGGCCTGTGGGTCCTTATATACAAACCTCTACTAGAGAAATACAGGTTTTTCAGCTGCAAAAAGTATCACCTGAATGTTGTTGTTGTTGTTACGTGCCATGGTGTCTGCCCTGACTCATAGTGACCCCTCCTTGGGTTTCCGAGGCAGTATCACTAGGGAAGTAGATTGCCCAACCTTCCATCCAAGGAGTGGCTGGTAGGTTTGAAGCACCAGCCTTCTGGTTAGCAGTCAAGTGCCTTAGGCACTATGCTACCAGAGCTCCCATCATCACCTGAGCAGGCAGATTAAATTTAACCAAGGTAGGGTTTTGATATTCTCAAGTAGGAGAAAGTGAGAGATGGGTAAGAGGAAGTTGAAGGTGTATACAAAAGACTAATTATAAAGATATACAGTGAAATACAAGTGAAAAGATATACATTATATAAATATATATACACACACACACACATATACTTATATACATATACGTATGTATAATATACATATATGTATGTACTGGATGATAACTGAAAAGATTATAAGAAGGGACAAAAAATGTGCTCTGTAGGCTATGGATACTAGTGGGCAGAACATTGATGGGAGTTAACCAGAGTGTTAGAGGAAGTAAGCTGGAAAAAGGTGGTAGATAAAGTCAGAAGGGAAGTGTCTGCATAGAGGGAAAGCTGTAAAGACAAGAATGAATAGATAAGAAGGGCACAGGGAAGGGATGGCCACAGGGAGGAGATGGCAGGAGAGCATTTTATGGTTGGACACTATAATCAGCATGAAACCAAATGTGCATGAACTATGGTGTGTAAAATAAATCTGCTTTGTAAATTTGTACCCACATCACAATAAAAATTAAAAAAAAAAAGAAAGAAAAAAATTAAAATTGAGATTATAAAGCAGATGACAGGAAGGTCTAAGACAGTGTATAACCATGGGAGTAGAAGATGTGATCATCTGAGAAACAGGCCAAAGAAGCAAAAGTCCACAGTATTAGAAGACGTGAATACATGGATATGGGACTTATTAACAAAATGATAAAAGCTGTGCTGTAAAGAGTAACAGTATGCTAGAACTGAAATCTTCAAGAAGGGAAGAAGTAAGTTACCCTGGAACTTACACATCCAAGAAAAACCGGTGTTATTGTTATGTGCCATTGAGTCGGAACCGACTCATAGCAACCCCTCCTTGGGTTTCCGAGGCAGTATCACTACAGACGTAGATTGCCCAACCTTCCTTCGGAGGAGTGGCTGGTGGGTTTGAACCGCCAGCCTTCTGGTTAGCAATCAAGTGCCTTAGGCACTATGCTACCAGAGCTCCTAGAAAAAGCAGTGGGATTGTAAATTGATATTCCTGAGAAAGAGGAGATTTGCATATGGCAAGTTTTCAGTGAGGACAGTGGGATTTGAAAGCAGCATTACTTTCTGCTTTAACCATAACGTTGATTGAGTTCTCTCTAAAGTGTCACTTTCTCTGCAATTAAAATTACTTTAAACAGCCCATTATATGCTTTCATACTTCTGCCATTAACTATATCAAACAGCACAGTACAGCTGGAGTCATTTAGTCAAGAAATACAGAAAACAAAAGTTAACAAGTTGTTTCTCAAAGGTAAAGCCTATCAACACAAAATTGCTTTAATTTTAACTTGGCTTCATTTATTTAATACCTTGTATTTCCTTTTTGAGTCCTATGATCTGTATGGAATATTTCTTTGTGACAATACTATTGTGAAAGGTATCGATTAAAATACAGTCATAATGAAAAGAAAATAGGTTTTACCTCCAGTTCATTGCAGCTACTTCATTAATATATTCAGCACAACAGACTAAAATTACTGAAAAAAGACAGAAACTGTTAAAATTTAAATGACTACTTGATTAGAAAAAATATCATGTATTCATAACAAAATATTTAATACAAATATAAGACAATAGCAAAAATGTGATGAGAAATACAATTTCAATTCTAGATATAATGCAAAGTAAAAAGTATAAAATTATAAAAATAAAGCACATAGGGAATGTCTGGTGGTGTAGTGCTTAAGACATGTGACTGCAAACCAGAAAGTTGGCAGTTCAAACCCACCAGCCAATCCTCAAAAGGAAGACTGAGCAATCTACTTCTGAAGTAATATTGCCTCAGAAACCCAAGGAGGGGTCGTTAAGAGGCCAATCTGACTCAACGGTAGGGAGTTTTTTTTTTTTTTTTAATAGACCACACATATCTAACAGAAAAGAAAATCAACATCAATGTAAGTTAACATTTTGATAATGTTGGTCTTGTAAAGTTATTTAGCAGGAGCAGAGTCATAACTGGAACCCGAGTCCTCCACCTTGAAGTCAAGCGTTTACCATGTAGTAGGATTTGCCTAAAATGCCATTTCCTATATAATACAAGTAAGAGTTTAATCACATATAATACCATGTAGCAGAATTTGAAGAGCTGTAAGACCAAGTGGTTAAAATTACCTACTTTCATCCGCAAATATTTGTACAATGGGCAATTATTACTGAGACTTTCATAAGGAACTGAATAGAAAAGCACCTAGGAGTATTGGAAACAAGGGAATGGAGAGGATGACAAACTTAAACAAGAACAACAGTAATTACAGCAGCTAACACTTACTGAAAGCTTTTTATGGGTTTTATTTGAATAATCCTTCAAATAAAATTTAACCCTCATTGTTGTTGTTATGTGCCGTCAAGTCATGCTTCCTTAAGGTTATAGCCTCGGAAACTCTATGGGGCAGTTCTACTCTGTCCTACAGGGTTTCTATGACTCAGGATCAAGTCAACGACAATGGTATTTTTATATTACATCTGTAATGTTTCCAAGCTCTAAACACAAAGATTGGATTTATAAAGGTACTAATAACCAGAGCCAATAATGTTATTGTTAGTGCTGATGGTTGTTGTTGTTGTTATGTTCTGTTGAGTCGTCTCCGACTCACAGCGACCCCTCCTTGACTTTCCGAGGCAGTATCACTACAGAAGTAGATTGCACAATCTTCCTTCTGAGAAGTGATTGGTGGGTTTGAACTGTAAGCTTTCTGGTTAGCAGTCAAATGCCTTAGTCACTACGCTACCAGAGCTCCTATAAAGCAGAGAACTGATACTATACGTTTCCGTCCTTATAAGCCACTCAGTTTGTGGCATTTTGTTTAGGCAGGCCTAAGAAACTAATAGAGAACTCTGGAGTAGGTCAGATCTCTGGTGGTGTAGTGATCAAAACATTTGGCTGCTAATCAAAATGTTAGCAGTTTGAACTCGCCAGCTGCTCCATGGGAGAAAGACAAGGCTATCTGCTTCCATAACGATTTATAGCCTTGGAACCCCTATGGAACAGTTCTACCCTGTCCTATAGGGTCACTGTGAGTCAGAATTGACTCAGTGACAGTGGGTTTGGTTTGTAGTAGGCACAATAGGTCAGCCTGAGTTTGAACCCTGACTATACCTTTTACCAGCTGTATGATCTTGGGGAAGTTAGTTAACATCTTCTTCTTTGTGTGTGTAAAAATGGGAAAACTAATTCCTAACCCTTAAGATCCACTCCCCACCCCCCCAAAAAAACCCAAACCCACTGCCATGAAATTGATTCATACTCAAAGTGACCCTATAGGACAAAATGAACTGGCCCACAGAGTTTCCAGCATTGTAAACCTTTACAGAAGCCAACTGTCTCATCCTTCTCCTGTGAAGAGTCTGGTGAGTTCAAACCTTTTGGTTGGCAGCCAAATGCCTTAACCATTGCTCCACCGGTGTTCTCATTTATTCTATTAACTCCTCATGCCACATACTTATTGCCTAGCTAATTCCTATAGGTCCTCTAGACTTCAGTTGAAATTTTATTGCAGCAATTTAAGCAAATCATAATCTTTCATTGTGCTCTTGATATTAGTGTCTGGTGGTACAGTACATAAGGCATTTGGCTGCTAACCAGGATCAGTGGTTCAAACCCACCAGCCAATCAGTGGAAGGAAGATAGTGCAATCTACTTCCATAAAGATTTATAGCCTTGGAAACCCAATGGGGGTTGCTATGTGTCGGAATCGACTCTATGACAGTGGATGTTAGTTTATAATAATGCATTTAATCATATGAATGAATGTTGACATCTCCCACTTAACTCTAGCCACATCTGTTTTACCACTGTATCTCTAGTACCCTTTAACACATACTTGATAGTTTTGTATTAACAAATGAAAATAGGAACCTATATGCATCCCATATTTGTTTAGTACTTTGTTTGTAAACTGTCCTAATTTACCCCTGTACTTCTAAAATAATCTCATTCAGATTTCCCACTTTATATACAGCCAGATGACTACTCTTATTTAAGATTAGAGAAGTTGCTGTTTATGAAACTACCGTGCAAAAATCTCCAGTAACACCCTGTTGTTGTTGTTGCTAGCTGCCTTCGAGTTGGACCTGACTCATAGCGACTCCTCCTTGGGTTTCCGAGGTGGTATCACTACGGAAGTAGATTGCCCCATCTTCCTTCCGAGGAGTAGCTAGTGGGTTCGAAGTACTAGCCTTCTGGTTTTCAGTCAAGTGTCTTAGGCACTACGCTACCAGCGCTCCTAGTAACACCCTAGTATCTACAACATCAAAAGAAAAGCCTCAATGTAGCCTTTTTAGGTTGTACTCCACATTTTTATCCAAGTATATTTCTAACTACTGAACATAGGAAATGTGGTATAGTAAATTACTTTCTGTGGCTTTTCTACCCATAAGTCTTTGTAAACTCCAAGGTGGAATTTGCTATGAGCAACTG